TCCATTTTACTGGAAAAATCCAGCAGCTTTTGTTTTGCCTTGATATCGGATATCGTCGATTTACCAACACATTACTCGGTAGATAGATTGCTTGCGGTTTCGCTACGTTCTAGTTGATTTATAATTGACACCTTCGCGTTCAAATCAAGCACACAGCGTTTGCGTTTCACTGGGGTAGCCATGCCAATGCTAGATAAAAGACGCTGATAAAGTAAACAGGTGAAAGGTCGCTTCGTATACGCTCTGTATAGATCGGCTCGATGTTACCAGACTGCTCATGGATTTTCGAATGGTAAACTGCTACAAGATGTCCCGATTTTATTGGAATCAGCAAAGTTTTTAACACCTAGAACGATTGACATAATAAATTGTTGTAAAAATCCAAGTTGGCTACTGTGATCACCGAACATAAACACTTCGACGCTGTGAACCATCAAACGGCCCGCCGACTGTGGTCATTGGTTGCCGTTGTCTGTTGATAAACCATCAAAGAGGCACACCAAGGGGTTGTCCTTTCGTCACTCTTTTTCACTGCACTATTAAACTGGCGTCGCTTCTGTGGCAAGACATCCCAGAAGTTATTTTCTTTCTTTTTTATTCCGAAAAGGATGCGACTTCTGATACTGGGCATTAAAATTAAAAATCGGGAAAAAAAACATGGGATCGGCTGATTGCCGCGTTTCTTTGACGGCAGTGGAACCCCGTACAATTTTCCCGGGAAACGTATTTGAACTGCGGTGACTTACAGCTTGGTAAAGTTAAGGATCTGACTGTAAACAGTGGAGAAGACATTTGATGAAGTTTGTGTTTTTAGAACATTTTTTATTTACAGTGAACACTGGTGTTGCATAATAGGCTTGTCTGAATTTAGGACATTATTGGACACTGTAATTCGTTTCATTGTTTGCGCAGACACAATGAACGTACACGTGAAAGACGTCGGATTACATGTTGATAATAGCTTTATTGAAAGTGTTGCACCAGGAAATCACACACTACGACTGTAATATTTATTGCTCACAGTTGACTTTTGTATTATACGGAACACAGCCAGACCTGCATACAAACTTTGGGGGACACACAGTAGGTTCGGATAACTGAACATTTCGGATAATCGACGTCCGGATAATCGACGTTCTACTGTATATGTATTATTGCTATAGCAGAACAGGCAGAAATTGAGATACATCAACTTCTTCATTCTTTTTACTGATTGTTTGTTGTTATCAACTTTACATTTACGACTTCTTCATCAAGTCTACATGCTTTGATACTTGGTATACCTCTTTTAGATTTGTTTTTTCGTGAATATCTTTGTCATTTGTGGTAGAAAGTGACTTCTTTTTGAAACGACTAGCCTGATTGCTTTGATATTTTATATGCAGACTCCTCAATTACACCTCAATCAAATTTGCTCATTTTGTGATAATACATTCAAATCTCTAATTTTAATGAATATTATGATCATTTTTGGTAAAAATTGCTATATTCAACTTTTTCTTGGAAATTACTCACTTGCTTTGATATTTTATATGTATGCATTTGAAGTGAGCCATAGTCAGATTATATTACAACTGAGTGGAACTTTATCAGCCGACAGGCTGTTCATGTTATTATGGGTTAATTCTAGTAGATTATCAAATTAAAGAAGAAAAATTTGCATTTTTACACTGGTTTCTATCGTTTAAATGTGTCTATCTCAAAATTTGAATGAAGAAGTCAGATATTATTGATATGAATTTCAAAAAATCATATTTAATAGTCAGTTAGCATTGTGATAAGTGTTTTTCATAAAATGAGAATTCTCTCCCAAAATGTAGAGCAAGATTTAAATTTAGCACAAACTGCCTTAATAACAATAATCGGCAGAAGGCCTTTCCATGCTTTTCATTGCATCATTGCACACAAGGTAAAAATAAAAATTTAATTTTCATGAAAATACGATATAAAAGCACAAGTTTTGAATCAAATTGACCAGAAAGCTTATTCGTGCTCACAAAAAATGTCTTATATTAGCCAATTATGTTACCAGATTCAGTTGTTCAACTTCCATGAAACTCTGTAATTCTCTAAGGATTGACACAATGGCAACTCTTTACAATGCATTCTAATTTGCATATCAATTCACAGATGATGAATCAAGTTCAGAAGAGGGAGGAATTTTCTAAGGCATCACCCAATGTATTAGCAAAGAGACCAATAGCTGTACCCAGTAGTAAGTACACTTTACAATTATTTGCTCTTCAAGCTTGTCAGTCTTCAACCATTGAATGTACCAGGCTGGATTCTCAGTAAATTTAAATTTTGCACGGGTACTATTCTAATGGTTCTAGGGACACACCTTGTCACATTACACTACTAGCTAAGAAATAAATATAGCGTGATTAATTGTGTGACATTTGTATTTCTGTCAAGGAGATGTTATCAGTCCCAGAAATTGAACCATGGTGTCACACCGTTATCTCTCTACATTGTTCACACTTTTAATCTATCTTATTCCCCAATTTGACATGTTGCCACCTGACGTTTTTTTCCCATTCATTCAGTCTATTCAAGGAGGCTTTCAGCAAGCGATGTATTAAGCATTAGACTATATAGTTAGGCTAAGTAAGTTTACTATGTGATTAGGCTAATTGCCTCCTTAGGATCAAGTCAGGCGACCTGGTTGCAAGATAATTCTTGTTTATTGGAGGTGTGTTTCAGTGTGTGTATTCTGACCGTATCACGGATCCACACTCCACAAGTATGTAATGTATTGTCATAATTGTTGCATAAAATCAAGGCTGTAATATTCAGTCACATATTTATGTCACATAGCTAAAGGCCGGAAAAAAACAACAATTTCATCTGGACTTGATGGAGCAGTATCTAGACTTTAAAGTAATTGATCAGTATTATTGAGGTAGCAACAGAGGAAAACTGAGTTAAAAATTGATCTGTAATTCAGAAAGTTACTAAGCCTACTATTAAACGACCCATATGTCATCTGAAAATTTAGACATTGCTGAAAACTGCAGTGCATATGCTGTACCCCTTTTTTTCTAAGGGATTTTCTGATGGACAATTTTGCCATATCTCTGACATGCTTTGACTGATTATGTTCGAATTTTATATATTCATTATAGATCATGTCATAGATGTACAGATATATTTGTTTGACTATCTGATTCAAAATGGCCAAGTGGCGGCCATTTTTGTGCTAAAAAATTGTCAAAAATATAGCATTTCGGCATTGTGGAACTGGATTTTGGTCGTTTATGAGTTTTCAAAATGGACGACTACTGGCTATTTTGTTCAACTAATGCTGTTCCACAGCAATATCTCTCAATATGGACAATTACTCCTTTGACGATTAGATACAAGATGATTCAATGTCAATCATTTCAGTGTTAAAAAATCACCATAATCAAGCATGTTTATGTTTGAACTATATTTATATATATAGAGGTTTTACTCACTTTGGTAGAGGAAATTTGTGTTCCGTCTCAGAGTCTGTATCTTGTTTTCTCAGTAAAGTCTATCTCTGTCATAAAGACAAGAGATTTACACCATCAAAAGCACTTTGCATGAAAAACTAAAAATACCCAGATTTGTAATTTCTTAATCAGTTGTGTTGTTTTTTATCTAATAAACCTATATATTTTCAATGTCAGACTGGTGTATATCAATTTGTAATGGGTTTAAGTTTATTTCTTTAGTTCACTTTGTTTAGAACATAGTGCATCAGGCTTATTACTAAGGAAGGTGGTGGGGGGGCTGGCTAGTACTGAGTGCAGCATTATATAGGATTGTTAAATTCTCCTACATTGCTTTGTATTGAGATGCCACTCATTATGAGCACAAATTTATCAAAACTAGTGTGTTCATATTTTTTTTTAGTTAATTGATTTTTTTTTTAAATTTAGCCAATCTCATAAAAATATTGACCCTACGTTTGTAATTTGGAATGTTTGATTATGTAACATTGTTAAATTGTGTACAAATGTGAGGCTTACTGGTTTGTAGATTGTGGTGTTCTTAGTTGACAAGTATGTCCATCAGCTAGTGACAAATACCTGTAATTTGTTTTGCAGACAAAAGTGGTAACATTGGTCAAGGTAGTAACCAAAGCTTTGTTGCTGCTACTTCTACAAGTGGCTCTGCTCCGGGGTTTCCCATGGCTTCAAAACCACTGTTTGCTACAAGCAGTCCACCAGGGACTGGGCCGCCATCCCCGACAAGTACAGCACCTAAAACAGGAACTTTTAGTGGGCAGGCGTTGTCCTTTTCAACCGCTGTCACCACCTCTACTACTTCAGTTTTTTCTTCATCGGGGAATGTGCCAAGCTTTAGTACCTCTGTGTCGACAAACGCGTTTCAATCACAAAACATTACAACATCAGCATCCTCATCTGCTAGTGTGTACCCACCTCAGAACAGCTCAGGCAATGTATTTGCAGCCCAGCGAGGTCCCCCACTCTTACTAGGAATGTGTTTGCTACTCATCAATCACAAGCTAACAGTAACACACCAACTACTTCCACAAGTATGTTACCAAAAAGTGAAGTGGTCTCAACAACACCTAGTGGACAGACTTTAACCATCCCGACCCCTGCAACTCGACCTAGTATTAGTATTTCCTCTGGAGGAGCAGTAAATGTTGCAAGCTATAGGACTATTGGCATTTCCAGCGTAGGTTCTGGATACTCTTCTGTTGAAAACAGTGACACAGAGCAAGGTAGTCGCTGATTAATTTGTCTTCAGTATTTCACAAACAAACGTGAAATGTTTATATCAATGGAAAATAAACATCCAGAAAGATGCATGCTTGTTGAAAGCATTTAGTTTGTAGAGGGAATAGTTCCTCGTTTGATTCATCAGAAGGTGGAAACTGATCCTAAACTCATGCATATCACAGTTTGTTGTTGGAACACGCATGGTATATTATCCTGTCTTCTAATGTCGTGTGTCATGAAAATGATTTTCTGAGTGCCCCTCATCAGGGAATTTCAATCAAAGATTTCAGTGTTGTAAAGCTTTCTTAGCACAATTGGTTCTATAAAGCTGCATTTGATGCTGCATTGCAATGAAATGTTGAGTTTTTTCCGTTAACTTATTTGCTTATTTGCTAACTTTAAAACTAATGTTAGCAATGATCATTGCATGTACAAGTACTCATTTCTGCATGCACCAGTACATCAATGCACCCTCCTCTGCCAGATATCATGTTGAAGCCAATTAACAATAACAGTTACATATTTCTAGTAAGCTGGCTGGCATTAACCACTAATGTCTGCAATACTGAATACAAAAATAAACTTTGAATGCACTAAAAATACAATGTTTTTTTCGTTAGCATCTTAAGGAGCGATGATCATATTAGTGCATGCCCCTTTCACTGATTTTGTTTGCTGGGCATCCTACACTATACTAGAAAGTAATGTATTTCACCCGTTCCTTGTTTTTTTTGCCTGACATAGAAACCATACTCATTCATGTTGGAATCGCTAACAATGACTAACTACAATTTTTACTTTGATAGAGAATACAAGTATTTAAGGATCTCAGCAGTTTCCTTTAGCAATGTTTGTTTCTGTTTTGCAGATGAATTTAAACCAGCTCTCAAGATAAGGCCTATGTCTATCAGACCAGTTTTTTCAACAGCAGGTGAGTGTGTGACTTTTAAATATTGATAGTTGTCTTGAGGATGCCAGCGATGGTAAAGTGTTTATAGTGTTAAACTTGCATCAATGTTTATCGCGTTCGACTTGCATCAATGTTGATCGTGTTCGACTTGCATCAATGTTTATCATGTTAGACTTACATCAATGTTAAACTCAACATTATAAATCAGAGTACCCCCTTTTGTGCCACATGTGTTTAGAAGTCCGACATGCACTTGCATTTAGCTCCAAAAACAAATAGAAAAACACTAAGGGAGAAAGCGGTGATTTCAATATCAGGAAATGTCACATGGCTTAAAAGTAATTAAAAAAAAGGTGGATATTTGTTAGGTCTTCCATTTGTGGCCATCATCCCCGTTGTCTATCTGGGTCCATTAATCTAGTTTGTCCTCGTTTGGATGCAATCCGAAAATGGAGACTTGTGGATTGACCTCTGTGTGTCTTTGCCTCGGTGTGTCTGTTTGTCCAAGTGTGCATCCGCCCGGACCTGTATCTTAGACTGGCCTGGATAAATTACATACAAACTTCATACATGCATCATACATAATATTATACATATGCACATCAATTTGATTCAAGGTGGCCGAATGGCGACCATTTTTGTACTAAAAAATCATCAAATTCAAACATTTCTTAGCTGTTTACAGATGGATTTTGTTCAAACTTAGTACATACATTGGACATTATGGGACCTTGATGTACATCATTTTGCTTTTCAGATAACATTCAAAATGGCTGACTGGTGGCCATTTTGTTTTAATGAATGGGCCGTATCTATGACATGCATTGACCGATTATGTTCAAATTTTAATTATTCATTATAAATGATCTCATAGATACTGTATTCAGATTTATTAGTTTGATGATCTGATTCAAAATGGCCGACTGGTGGTCATTTTTATGCTAAAAAATCATCAAAAATCTAGCATTTCTGGCATTCGGAACTGAATCTCAGTCATATATGGATGGAATTCGTTCAAACTTGGTACAGACATGGGTTCCTGATGCACGTCATTTTCGTTTTTCAGGTCTGATTCACATTAATGTGGTTCTAGAGCCATATCTCTGACTTGCTTTGACTGATGTTCAAATTATACATATTCACTATACTTCAAGTCATAGATCTACAGATGTATTGTTTTGACGATCCGATTCAAAATGGCCAACCAGTGGCCATTTTGTTTTTAATTAATGCTGTTCCAGAGCAATGTTTTTCAATATAAACAAGTACTTGTACTATGTTACTATAAACAAAACTATATAACTTTGATAACTGATAGGGACTGTGGCATGCATGGCTTGTTTACATTGAGCTTGCAATACAAACCTGACTATTTTTAACCTTATTTTCGTTATTAGAAGCACATCTCAAATAGAAGCACATGTACACAGTGTAGATCAAATTTGTTGTATGCTGAATCATTAATTGCTTATTTTGACCATAGAATCAGCTCGGTTATTTACATACCCAACCCCCCACCCCGTAACTATTGTGCTATTAATAGAGCAATTACGTCATAGTTTGATGTGTACAATAAAGCAATCTATAATACTTATTTAACTTACAGAAGAATCATGGGGTGAATCAGCCAGCTGTAAGGTTCTTCTCCGACCATCAAGCCTTCCTGGGCCTTTTAAGTTGAAAGCACCTAGTTTAACTGCCCCAGACACAAAAAGTAAGTATATTTTTGACTCCCATGTGCGAAGCACAAAATTGGAGTCTTTGCAGTTA